ATGTCTAGGCTTAAATTCTGTTTTCTTGGAATACTGTGTCTCTGAGAAGTTCGTCCTGCTGAACTCGGTGGGCTTTTTGGCCGTCTGAAACTCGTGGAGGAGGACCTCAATGGCTAGTGGTCCATCAGTGCAATGGCTGCTGCGCCTTCTCCCCACGTTCCAGCTTCCTGTCTTGCTGGGAGGAGCTTGCAGTCAGAGGCACAGCTACTGGGATGCCCCCTCTCCCTAGGCTTTGGGAGCATAAGGCACCCCCTCCGACCGTCCCCCAGACCTGAGCCATTCTCTCCTAACTCGCCAACCTCTCCAAGCTCGTCAGCTCACCCCTCTGCCTGTGGTACCCACCTTCTCTCCATTCCCTACACAAGCCGAGCTTCCTGCCTCAGGGCCTTTGCCCATGCTGTCCCTCTGCCTGGCACATTCTTTCAGCAGCTACTGCAGGGTCTCAGCTCAGATGTTCCCTCCTGGAAAGGGTGTTCCTGACCCACCACGTGGCAAGCTCTGCACAGTGCCCGCTTCTTCCTTCAGCGCATACAAGGCTGGGACCAAGTCTGCTTTGTTCCCTACCACACCTCTAGGGCCTAGAACAGCCCTGGCCCGAGTCAGTGCTCAATAATTGTCGAGGTAATGAATGGACAGGAAAGGTCAGGAATAGCTAGGGGCAGGGGGATGGGTCATCTGCACTGCATGTGCCGGTTCTTCAGCGGGGCCCGAGATCACGTTAATAATAGCAGTGCCAGTAGCCAGTTGTATAACGTATCTCGGGGCTTCTCATGTTGTCATAATGACAGTTTCCACGTCTGAGCATGACTGAGTGCCAGGCCTGTGCTCGGCTTCTTGGAAGTAGTATCTGGACTCCTTATCAAATCCAGCCAAGGAGCTGGTGGGAAATGAGGCCTGGCGAGGTCACGGTCTGCAGAGCGTCCCAAGGTAAATACCGGGCAGAGCTCCTTCATGGCGCGCCCGCTGCTTGTGAGGCCTGGAATCTTGACTTTGGTATCGCAGTGAGGTGTTTCCTCTGGCTTAATGCCCAACAGCCAGAATAGGAGTGACAGGTAGAGGCCAAGGCGCATCCCCATTTGGCTGAGTGTGTCTGATTTCAGTGCTCACGTTGTGCTTGCCCACGTGGGAGCAGAGGAGAAAGTGGTTATGAGATAATCAAGTGCCTTCGTACCTTTCCTTTTCTTTTCTATTGATTTCAGAGAGAGGAAGTGAGAGGGAGAGAGAGAGAGAAACATCAATGAGAGAGAAATAGCAATCGGCTGCCTTCTGCATGCCCCCTACTGGGGATCAAGCCCGCAGCCCAGGCATGTGTCCTGACTGGGAATCAAACCAGCAACCTCCTGGGTTCATGGGATGATGTTCAACCAACTGAATCATACTGGCCAGGAACCTTTGTACCTTTTCTGTGTGCAATGAAAGAGCATCTTGTCACTGTTAACCTGCATTCTTTCTTTTTTTAATGCTAACATTTATGGGGGATTTTTCTTTCTATAAAAGCAATTCATGCTCATGGTGGACCATCCAGAATGGACGTATGGCCCCTGTTAAGAAGCTGTGTACTGTGTTTTATGTAGCGTGTGTATGTGTACATATGTATATATCTAAGTACACACATATACAAGAATACACATGTAATTTTGTGTCCTGCTTATTTCAGTTGTAAAAATAAGCATTTCCCATTTTATTTAAAACCCTTTATAGGTTAATTTTAAACAACCGTATGAGCCCAGCCGGTGTGGCTCAGTGGATTGAGCGTTGTCCCAGGCACCAAGAGGTCACTGATTTGAATCCTGGTCAGGCCTGAGTTGCGGGCTCGATCCCCAGTAGGGGGCGTGCAGGAGGCAGCTGATCTGTGTTTCTAACTCTCCCTCTGCATTCCTCTTTCTCTAAAAAATCAATAACAACATATTTAAAACACACACATATACCAAAAAAACCTGCATGAGATCCCCAGTAGGAGGCGTGCAGGAGGCAGCTGATCTGTGTGTGTAACTCTCCCTCTGCACTCCTCTTTCTCTAGAAAAATCAATAACAACATATTTAAAACACACACATACACCAAAAAAACCTGCACGATGTATGTCATATTTGTAGTGTGGTTGGCTGAACCATTCTTCTCTACTGCCACATTTCCCCTAGTATAAATAATGTGAGAAATATCCTTGTACATGAATCTGTGCTTGTACTTCTGATTCTTTCCTTGTGTTGAATTCCTGGTAGTCAAGGACATGGACACACTCAGGTTCTTTCTGATGACTTCCTCACAGAGACTCAGGGCCGGGTCTGTGGCTGTTAATCTTCCCCCTGTTAGTCCTCCCATCAGTTAGCTCTTTTCTCCCTGAGGGGTCGCCAACATTCCCTGGTAACCACCTGAGATTCGCAACCACTCTTGTTTCTCTGCAAAGCCCCGAAGCAGCAACCTCTCGGCTGAGAAACAACTACGGGTGACTCCCCAGTGGCACTGCGAAGGGGTGCCACTTTCTGGCTCCTTACAGTTAAGAGTATCAGCATCTCTCTGTGAGTCTGACATTGGCCCGGGGGTGGCCTTTTACAACCCAAATCCTCTGGATCCAGAGTCATCCCTGCAGAGTCGGGGGTCTGGTCACTTTCATGGTAACGCTGTCTTTTCTGTCCTCGCCTCCCAGGTTTTGGGGCCTTGTCACAGATGCCAGATGATTTGCATTGACCAGCAAACTGGGCAACGAAACCAAGATGTTTTCCAAAAGCTTTCAGAGAGTCGAGAGAGAAAGGTGAGCATGACTGCAAAGTACGGTACCCCATTTCAAGATCTGGGTGTGTTACCTCCCCAGAGCTATATCCCTCGTAGTGCCGAGTAATTTTTAGAAGCAGGAAACATTCAAAGGCTGTTGGGCTACCATTAAGGTTCTGACTTCATCTGTGGCACCATCTTATCTTTCCTTTCTGTCTGTCTCTTCACTTTTATGGGGCTCTTATTATGTGTATTTTTAATACCCTCAAATCATGTTGAAGAGATATGGAGTATAAGTGAAAGGGAGTAAGTGGAGTAATTCTATTTTTGGATTATTCTTTTCTTCACTGCAGAGTTCTTATGAAGAGTAAAATGCCTTATGGTGTACAGAGTAGCTGCATAGAAACAGTAATAAATTTCACTGTACTAAGCTTGTAAGTCATCTTCTTGAGGGTGAACATGCCTGAGTGCTGTTGTCGTGGGGTCCAGATGATAAAAGCTAACCTTACTTATTTCCACTGTTTATTAGAACCGTTTGTTTGCAAAGAATTCCAGGAAGTCAAGTCAGCAGTTAGGCTGCGCTGAACAATTCTTGAAAACTAACTGAAATAATGCAAATGTTTAATCTCCCTCCAGTAACACATTGGCAGGTTAAATCAGGGTAAAATGTTCTGCACGGCTTCCTGTGTTTCTCCAAGACCAGGGTTTTGTTTCACAGTATTTGATTGACACGATCTCCCTACAGATACGGGGTAGATATGGTCTTCAGAGATGTTGCACTTGAGCGTTATACCAACACGTCTGTCTGCTCAGCAGAGGCTGCTGTATCAACGAGGGGCATAGGGACCTTGAGCCTGCCCCGTGCTGCCAGGAGATGGGTGGGCACAAACACTGTGATGCATCAAAGCATCTTAGAATTCTCATGTGCACAAATCTTTTATTTTTTAATTTGGAATATTTTTAGATTTACAGAAAAATTACAAAGATAGCATAGAGAGTTCCTGTGTACTCTTCGTCCACATGTGCACGAACCTTAAGGAATTAATTTGCCCCAGCCCCTCATCTGGGGCCTGGAACATGGGGAACATGGGGAGTGGATGGCCAACTGATGTTATCACAGAAATGAACAGGTCTGGGAGCACGTCACCTACGCCAAAGGGTTTTTACTGGCTCACCGGCGGTGATGGCAAACCTCGATCAGACTGCATTTTGGACCCTCCATCTTTATTCTGGAGAAGTTGGAGAATTTACCTGGCATCACATGTTCTCATGGAAAATGCAGGGTAGACAGGAAGGAGGAAAAAGAATGGGTCCAGCCATAAAGAATATGGGGTGACTTGGGAAAGGACACCTTAGAATGAGGGTCTTTGGTGTCTGCAATGAGGATCCCCCCTGTTTCCCAGGACATATCATTAAATATGTGACTTAATTTCACTTGAACATTATTTACAAAATGTTTTCAGCTGCTAAAGTAATCTAGTTGTTGCTGCTTTGTCCACAGGTAAACTTCGGAGTGTACCTGATGCATATGTCTTTGGATTTTTCTTCTCCATGTTTCCTGTCCGTAGGATCTCAGGTGCTCCCTGTGTTGAAAGAAAATGTAGAAAGCCACGATTTACCTGCTTCTGAGAAACATCAGAATGTTGTCTCCTAAGATTCTTTTTTTTCCAGCTTAAATTAAAATTTCTCTTTTACAACTATCTCCACTTTTACTAAGATCGTCATGTGGCTCAGTAGGACTTGGTCTTTTGAATGAGGAGAGTGCTTTTCCTTTTGGAGGTGGATAGCCCTCTCTCTCGCTTCCCCCTTCCTCCCACTCCTCACTCTCCACCGTGCACTGGCCCCGCTCAGGAGGGCAGTTTCGAGGCCCTTGTGCTCTCCACAGGGCAAATTCGGCAGGAATGCCACACTCACAACCATGTATTGGAAGTATGAGTTTTAATGAGATGAGCTTCATGCATGAGATGCTCACTGGGAATATTTAACCTCCTTGTTTTGCCATTTCTCCACACTGTTACTTTGTCTTTAAAAAGAGCCTTTAGGTGCTTTTCAGCCCCCTGTATGGAGGAAGTAGTCTAATTTTGAGGGAGTGAGAATGTGCCCCCCTCCCTTCCATGTGCATGGAGGAGGTGGGTCTATGCTCAGGGCTCCTGAGTGTGACTTGTGGCCCTGTTCCTTAGCAGGGGTTCGGCCAGGATATCCATGTGTTGAGCAAAGGCACAGGCCATTGACCCCTTCCTCTCGCTTCTGATCCCTGCCCACCGTTCCTCTCCCACTGTGAGCTGATGCACCAAGGAGTCACACTAGGTGAGGGTGGTGTTATTTGAGCAATTGTGTCCCCTCCACAAGACCCCTGGACAGTGTTGGTCCACTGACCCCAGAGTCTTCAGACCCTAGTCAAGAGGAACCCTGGAGATTGAGGGAGTCTGTCTGTACCACTGTGACCAGCGCTCTTGCAGGCTCTAGCTGCACAGGTAATGAGGTTACCTGTCCCATGAGCTCACAATTTCCTCCCTATAGTGAGCTTGTATCTGCATCCCGGTGACTTCTGGCCATGGGTCTTCCCTGTCGTCTGGAGCAACATAGAGTGAGACTGCACACACCCACATCCACTCTGCTGGAGGCATGGC